AAAGATAGGATTTTACCGAAAAATTCTGTAAGAATTTCTCAGATATTGTAAAACCCCTCTTACCTCTCTTACCCGTCACAAAAATTCCCTTTTAAATTGGGGCCCCCGATTGTCAAACTTCTTTTGACAAAGAAAAAGAATATTGTGTACTGCACCCATTCTCTTGTCTCCAGTTTTTCCCAAACCCTTTTTTATTACAGGTTGATGCTTGTGGGGTCTGGGGTTGGGGCAGTATATTTCAAAACGAAATTAGGGGGTTGCAAACCTTTTAAACATAATTTTTAGCCAAGTACCAAACCCTCAGAAAGGGGTTACTCTACCATTGAAAAAAAAAGCCCTCGTGCTGGTTTCGGCTTTGGAAAACATTTCGATGTTTATGTGGGGCCCGACCCTCGCAGGTGGTCCAGTCTACAGTGATCAAATCCTAAGTATTTCTCCAAGCCTGAAGAACCCCCAACACAAGGCTCAAGCGCTTTGGAAAGCTAAGACTGCAAACCCTTTCACTCAGAATTAAATTATTGCCGGCAAAGAAAAATGTTTTGGGGGACTCTTTATTAGGTTAATATTTTTATTTATTTAGGTTAGGATTTTTATATATTTGTTGGGAACCCCTTTTCACGCTCTTTTTTTTTATCCCCTGGTGTGGGTTTTTTTTTTTTTTTGTGAGGGGGTGCGGGCTACCGTCCGCCTGTATTTGGACCATGCTTTGCCTGACGAAGGGTGGGCTCACCTGAGTTTAGGGGTTTTGGGTTTTTTTCACGAGAAAAACTGAGCACTACTAAGAGTTGGATGGTGGGAGGAAAGGGGGGTCCCATTATTTTGTGGGCCCTGGGGGAAAGGGTTTTCCAAATGGGAGGTGGCACCTAATCCTGGAAACCCCGGGGTGGGGGGGTTTTGGCCCTGCAAAGAGTACCCCCCCCAACCTTTTTTTTCGGCGCAGGAAAACACCCCCCATTTACAGGCTATTTTCCCCCAACCACGAACCAGGTTGCTAAAAAGGGTTTATGATGGGGGGCCCCTCGTTCCAAAAGTGACCAGGTTCAGCCCAAAAAGAAAATGGTTTTGGGCAATCGCAGGGGGTTATGTGGGTACCCCTCTCCGGTTTTGCCCCTTTCATTTCCCCCCCCTTGAGTGGTTTAAGCCCGGGGCTATCTTGTGGCTTTTTAAATTTTTGCCTTGCTTACCGTGGAGGCACTATACTTATCACGTACATAGTGTAATAAGTTTATTTTAAATTGGTAAGGTAAAATAAGTCTAAACTTTTTCTGCTGTGTTTTTTTTTTTTCTCCCATTACCCCGGATAACAGGCCATTTTGGGAATTTCCCGGGTTTGGGAATAGTGGTTGGGGGTGGGGTGGTAGTGGGCGGTGGTTTGGGGCGGCAGTGGTGGGGTTTGTGGCGGTGCTATTGGGGTGTGGTTTGTTTGGGAGCGGTGGTGGGGGTAGTGGGGGGGTAGTGGCGGTGGTGGTTTGTGGCGGGGGGGGATTTGTGGCGGTGGTGATAGTGGGGGTTTGGGGGTGGGGTAGTGGCGGCGGTGGTGGTGGGGGTGGTGGTAGGGTGGTGGGAGTGGTAGTGGTGGTAGTGGTGGTGGTGGTGATGGTGGTGGTGATGGTGGTAGTGGCGGTGGTGGTGGTGGTGGTGGTAGTGGTGTGTGGTGGTGGTGGTAGTGGTGGTGGTAGTGGTGGTGGTGGTGATGGGTGGTAGTGGCGGTGGTGGTGGTGGTAGTGGTGGTGGTGGTGGTGGTGTGTGGTGTAGTGGTGGGTGTGTGCGGTAGCGGTGGTGGTGGTAGTGGTGGTGGTAGTGGTGGTGGTTGGTAGTGGTGGTGGTGGTAGTGGTGGGGTGGTGTAGTGGTGGTGGTGGTGGTGGTGTGGTAGTGGTGGTGGTAGTGGCTGTGGTGGTGGTGGTGGTGGTGGGTGGTGGTGGTGGTAGTGGTGGTGGTGGTGGTGGTGGTAGTGGCGGTGGTGGTGGTGGTAGTGGCGGTGGTGGTGGTGGTGGTGGTAGTGGCGGTGGTGGTGGTAGTGGCGGTGGTGTGGTAGTGGCGGGTGGTGGGTGGCGGTGGTGGTGGTGGTGGTGGTGGTGGTAGTAGTGGTGGTGGTAGTGGCGGTGGTGGTGGTGGTGGTAGTGGTGGTGGTAGTGGTGGTGGTGGTGGTGGTGGTGGTAATGGTAGTGTGGTGGTGGTGGTGGTGGTGGTAGTGGTGGTGGTAGTGGTGGTGGTGTGGTGGTAGTGGTAGTGGTGGTGGTTAGTTGGTAGTGGTGGTGGGTAGTGGTGGTGGTGGTGGTAGTGGCGGTGTTGGTGTGGTAGTGGTAGTGGTGGTGGTAGGTGGTGGTGGTGGTTGGTGGTAATGGTAGTGTGGTGGTGTGGTGGTGGTGGTAGTGGTGGTGGTGGTGGTAGTGGTAGTGGTGGTGGTGGTGGTATGGTGTGTGGTGGTGGTGGGGTGTAGTGGTAGTGGTGGGTGGTAGTGGGTGGTGGTGGTGGTGAGTGGGTGGTGGTGGTGGTAGTGGCGGTGGTGGTTGTGGTGGTGGTTTGTGGTGGTGGTGGTGGTGGTGGGAGGAGGAAAGTGGGATGGTGGAGGAACAATTTTCTTGGCATGGAGCCATCTGGCAGGTAGCCAGGCTGATGCTGGTGGTGTTGGTGGTGGTGGTGGTGGTGGTAGTGGTGGTGGTGTGGGTGGTAAGTGTGTGGTGGTGGTAGATGGTGGTTTTTTGGTGGTGTGGTGGTGGTAGTGGTGGTGGTGGTGGTGGTGGTGGTAGTGGCGGTGGTGGTGTGTGGTGGTGGTTGTGGTGGGGGTGGTGGTGGGTGTGGTGGAGTGGTGGTGGTGGTGGTGGTGGTGGTAGTGGGGTGGTGGTGTGGTGGTGTGGTTGTGGTGGTGGTGGTGGTGGTGGGGAGGAAAGTGGGATGGTGGAGGAACAATTTTCTTGGCATGGAGCCATCTGGCAGGTAGCCAGGCTGATGCTGGTGGTGGTGCTACTACTGTTGCTGCTGGTGCTAATGCTGCTGCTGCTACTGGTGCTACTGTTGATGCTGTTGTTGCTGCTGGTGCTACTGTTGCTGCTGCTACTGGTGCTACTGTTGCTACTGATGGTGCTACTACTGCTGCTACTGTTGCTGCTGCTGCTGCTGTGGTACTACTTTTGCTGCTGCTGGTGCTACTGTTGCTGCTGGTACTACTGTTGTTGCTGCTGGTGCTACTGTTGCTGGTGCTGTTAGTACTACTGTTGTTGATTCTCTTGCTGTTGTTGTTGTCACCACCTCAGCACTTCGCTATGATCATCACTGGCCAGAAACACCCATTTTTCTACTCTTTATATCATCCATCTGATGAACACACTAGTACTCAAGTGTTCCACGGATAACACACCAGAACTCGTGTTCCACGGATGATAACCACTAGTACTCAAGTTCCACGATAAACACCAGAACTCGTGTTCCACGGATGATAACACACTAGTACTCAAGTGTTCCACGGATAACACACCAGAACTCGTGTTCCACGGATGATAACACACTAGTACTCAAGTGTTCCACGGATAACACACCAGAACTCGTGTTCCACGGATGATAACACACTAGTACTCAAGTGTTCCACGGATATCACACCAGAACTCGTGTTCCACGGATGATAACACACTAGTACTCAAGTGTTCCACGGATAACACACCAGAACTCGTGTTCCACGGATGATAATACACTAGTACTCAAGTGTTCCACGGATAACACACTAGTACTCAAGTGTTCCACGGATGATAACACATTAGTACTCGTGTTCCACGGATAATAGCACACTAGTACTCAAGTGTTCCACGGATGATAACACACTAGTACTTGCGTTCCACGGATGATAACACACTAGTACTCAAGTGTTCCACGGATAACACACTAGAACTGAAGTGTTCCACGGATGATAACACACTAGTACTCAAGTGTTCCACGGATAACACACTAGTACTCGTGTTCCACGGATAACACACTAGAACTGAAGTGTTCCACGGATAACACACTAGTACTCAAGTGTTCCACGGATAACACTAGTACTCAAGTGTTCCACGGATAACACACTAGTACTCAAGTGTTCCACGGATAACACACTCGTACTCATGTATTTCACGGATGATTCTGTTCCTCAAACACAGGACTGGTTTTTATGCTCTGTTTCCCACTTTAAAAGCAGAATAATCCTCATTTTGGATTATTCTGCTGTGATGATGTGTTTAGCGCTGAGAAAGATGTTAGCTGAGCTAATATGTGTGAGGAGTGTTTGTTGACCTCAGTACCAGAATGCTTATATTACCAGATTGTTATTATCTATCTTCATCTCAGTAGCTACAGAGATGATTACTGAAAGATATTATTACGTAAAGTAGCTCCTTTCTCTCTCTCTCTCTCTCTCTCTCTCTCTCTCTCTCTCTCTCTCTCTCTCTCTCTCTCTCTCTCTCTCTCTCTCTCTCTCTCTCTCTCTCTCTCTCTCTCTCTTAACATCGGAGGTTTACCATCATTTTTTCAAGTAATATATTTCACCCATCTTTTATTTTTTCTTCAAATTCCCAAAATATAAAAAGGAAGAATCAGGTACGTGTGAGCCAGTAGAGAAAAACCTGGATCTCAGCTCAAAGGAATGCAATGTTTGTCCTGGGATGGAACAAACCCAGAGAGTAATCTCTGAGATTTTTGAAGGTTTACGAGGGTAAAGTTTTTCCAGAGCTCAGGCAGTATACACAAAGTTCATAGCAACGTCGTGTTATTTATCCATTTCTGAAAACTAAAATTCACAATAAAAATGTAAACACGACAGAATTCACGATTCATTTAAGGAATATTGATGTTCCTGCCCACTGAAAATATATATATATATATAAAATATATATATATAATATATATATATATATATATATAAAAATATATATATATATATATATATATATATATATATATACAGAGAGAGAGTGAGTGAGTGAGTGAGTGAGTGAGTGAGTGAGTGAGAGAGAGAGAGAATAATACTCACAAGACCTTGAGGCTTGGTAGGAAGACATGGAAGAGGTTGGTTGGTAGTTGATGGAGTCGCGGGGCGTGGCTGATATATCTGTGGAAGGCAAGACTTGTTACTCTCAGGTACACATGCCACTCTTGCATCTCATGTACACCTTACCTGTACACACAAGGTATACACACAACGAATGTAAGTTAGACAGGGCAATGTGTATGCCAGGTGTAGCACTCAGGTATACTCGTCAGATTTACAAATAAAAGTGTATGACAAGTAGACTAACATTAATGATGTAGGTTGTACATCAGCTCTCTAAACATTAAAACATGAAGAAATTAACTGTTATAGAAAGGGGATACTACAAGCATAATCAACACTATTACAAATATGAGGAAATAACGATAACCAACCACGCACACACACACACAAGGTGGACAGAGACAGAATGTTCCAGAGATGGGACACAGCAACAAGGGGACACAGTTGGAAATTGAAGACACAGATGAATCACAGGGATGTTAGGAAGTATTTCTTCAGCCACAGAGTAATCAGGAACTGGAATAGTTTGGGAAGCGATGTAGTGGAGGCAGGATCCATACATAGCTTGAAGCAGAGGTATGATAAAGCTCACGGTGCGGGGAGAGTGACCCAGTAAAGGCCAGTGAAGAGGCGGGGCAGGAGCTATGACTCGACCCTTGCAACCACAACTAGGTGAGCACACACACACACACACACACACACACACACACACACACACACACACACACACACACACACACACACACACACACACACACACACACACAAAACTCACATTGTTCGCAAGTGAGACATATTCTTGAAGGTGTCCACTTCGATGTTTCTCAGTCTTTTCACGTCTTTCAGTATACTGAAAAAATAAGAGAGAAACATGTGACATGATGGCATCATCCTTCATGTGGTGTCTCATATATTCGTATGTGATGACGTCATGAACGTTTATGATGTCATGGGCGTATGTGATGATGTCATGAACGTTTATGATGTTAAACACGTTAGTGATGATATCCTGGATGTTTGTGATGTCATAAAAGTTTATGTCGTGGATGTTTGTGATGTCAACAGGGACTTGTGTGATGTTGTGTATTAGATATTCCTGCCTTGTACTTGTACGTTGGGACATGTTCCGTGTACTTGTACGTTGAGGAATGGGAGGTAGTCAGGATATCGAAGGGGTGAATAGCTCTAGTTCCTTGGACCAAGAGCCCTTTACCAACCTCAATAAATCCATCTGAGGGGAATGTAGGGTAAATACCGTACATGGCTTTCATGTATACATCAACACACACACACACACAGTCGTTCCTATGTATTGTTCCTATATACATTTGTGTGAATGTGTGCGTGTGTGTGTATGGGTGAGTGTGCGAAGTGTGAGTTTGCTTACTGTAAGTCAACATGAGTGCTGTAGGACAGTGTCATTCTCAGGAGACAATATTGTCTACCCTCACTGTTGTGTGAGAGCACTTGACAGTGTCTACCCTCACTGTTGTGTGAGAGCACTTGACAGTGTCTACCCTCACTGTTGTGTGAGAGCACTTGACAGTGTCTAGCCTCACTGCTGTGTGAGAGCACTTGACGTGTCTACCTCACTGTTGTGTGAGAGCACTTGACAGTGTCTACCCTCACTGTTGTGTGAGAGCACTTGACAGTGTCTAAACCCCACTGTTGTGTGAGACCACTTGACAGTGTCTAGCCTTTACTGTTGTGTGAGAGCACTTGACAGTGTCAAACCCCCACTGTTGTGTGAGAGCACTTGACAGTGTCTACCCTCACTGTTGTGTGAGAGCACTTGACAGTGTCTAGCCTCACTGTTGTGTGAGAGCACTTGACAGTGTCTACCCCAAATGTTGTGTGAGAGCACTTGACAGTGTTACCCTCACTGTTGTGTGAGGGGCACTTGACAGTGTCTAGCCTCACTGTTGTGTGAGAGCACTTGACAGTGTTTTAGCCTCACTGCTGTGTGAGAGCACTTGACAGTGTCCTACCCTCACTGTTGTGTGAAGCACTTGACAGTGTCCCACCCCTAATTGTTGTGTGAGAGCACTTGACAGTGTCTACCTCACTGTTTGTGAGAGCACTTGACAGTGTCTACCCTCACTGTTGTGTGAGAGCACTTGACAGTGTCTAGCCTCACTGCTGTGTGAGAGCACTTGACAGTGTCTAACCTCACTGTTGTGTGAGAGCACTTGACAGTGTCTACCCTCACTGCTGTGTGAGAGCACTTGACAGTGGGCTAGCCTCACTGCTGTGTGGAGCACTTGACATGTCCCACCCTCCCTGTTTTTGTGAGAAACACTTGACATGTCTACCCTAACTGTTGGTGAGAGCACTTGACAGTGTCTACCCTCACTGTTGTGTGAGAGCACTTGACAGTGTCTACCCTCACTGTTGTGTGAGAGCACTTGACAGTGTCTACCCTCACTGTTGTGTGAGAGCACTTGACAGTGTCAAGTCTCACTGTTGTGTGAGAGCACTTGACAGTGTCTACCCTCACTGTTGTGTGAGAGCACTTGACAGTGTCTACCCTCACTGTTGTGTGAGAGCACTTGACAGTGTCTAGCCTCAAATGTTATGTGAGAGCCCCTTGACAGGTCTACCCTCACTGTTTGTGTGAGAGCACTTGACAGTGTCTAGCCTCACTGCTGTGTGAGAGCACTTGACAGTGTCTACCCTCACTGCTGTGTGAGAGCACTTGACAGTGTCTACCCTCACTGCTGGGGGTGAGAGCACTTGACAGTGTCTAAACCCCCACTGTTGTGTGAGAGGGACTTGACAGTGTCTAGCCTCACTGTTGTGTGAGAGCACTTGACAGTGTCTACCCTCACTGTTGTGTGAGAGCACTTGACAGTGTCTAGTCTCACTGTTGTGTGAGAGCACTTGACAGTGTCTACCCTCACTGTTGTGTGAGAGCACTTGACAGTGTCCCACCTCACTGCTGTGTGAGAGCACTTGACAGTGTCCCCGCCTCACTGCCCGTGTGAGAGCACCTGGCAGTGTCTACCCTCACTGCTGTGTGAGAGCAAATGACAGTGTCTACCCTCACTGTTGTGTGAGACCACCTTTACAGTGTCTACCCTCACTGCTGTGTGAGAGCACTTGACAGTGTCTCGCCTCACTGCTGTGTGAGAGCACTTGACAGTGCTACCCTCACTGTTGTGTGGGGAGCACTTGGGAAATGTCTACCCTCACTGTTGTGTGAGAGCACTTGACAGTGTCTACCCTCACTGTTGTTTGAGAGCACTTGACAGTGTCTACCCCCCACTGTTTTGTGAGGGGCAAATTGACAGTGTCTACCCTCACTGCTGTGTGAGAGCACTTGACAGTGTCTAGTCTCACTGTTGTGTGAGAGCACTTGACAGTGTCTACCCTAACTGTTGTGTGAGAGCACTGACAGTGTCTACCCTCAAATGTTGTGTGAGAGCACTTGACAGTGTCTAACCCTCACTGTTTTGTGAGAGCACTTGACAGTGTCAGCCTCACTGTTGTGTGAGAGCACTTAGACATGTCTACCCTCACTGTTGTGTGAGAGCACTTGACAGTGTCTAGCCTCACTGCTGTGTGAGAGCACTTGACAGTGTCTACCCTCACTGCTGTGTGAGAGCACTTGACAGTGTCTACCCTCACTGCTGTGTGAGAGCACTTGACAGTGTCTACCCCCACTGTTTTTGTTTAGAGCACTTGACAGTGTCTAGCCTCACTGTTGTGTGAGAGCACTTGACAGTGTCTACCCTCACTGTTGTGTGAGAGCACTTGACAGTTTTCTAGTCTCACTGTTTTTGTGAGAGCACTTTACAGTGTCTACCCTCACTGTTGGGGTGAGAGCACTTGACAGTGTCTACCCTCACTGCTGTGTGAGAGCACTTGACAGTGTCTCGCCTCACTGCTGTGTGAGAGCACCTGGCAGTGTCTACCCTCACTGCTGTGTGAGAGCACTTGACAGTGTCTACCCTCACTGTTTTTGTGAGAGCACTTGACAGTCTACCCTCACTGCTGTTTTGAGAGCACTTGACATGTCTCGCCTCACTGCTGTGTGAGAGCACTTGACAGTGTCTACCCTCACTGTTGTGTGAGAGCACTTGACAGTGTCTACCCTCACTGTTGTGTGAGAGCACTTGACAGTGTCTACCCTCACTGTTGTGTGAGAGCACTTGACAGTGTCTACCCTCACTGTTGTGTGAGAGCACTTGACAGTGTCTACCCTCACTGCTGTGTGAGAGCACTTGACAGTGTCTAGTCTCACTGTTGTGTGAGAGCACTTGACAGTGTCTACCCTCACTGTTGTGTGAGAGCACTTGACAGTGTCTACCCTCACTGCTGTGTGAGAGCACTTGACAGTGTCTCGCCTCACTGCTGTGTGAGAGCACTTGACAGTGTCTACCCTCACTGTTGTGTGAGAGCACTTGACAGTGTCTCCCTCACTGTTGTGTGAGGGGCACTTGACAGTGTCAACCCTCACTGTTTGTGAGAGCACTTGACAGTGTCTAGTCTCACTGTTGTGTGAGAGCACTTGACATGTCTACCCTCCACTGTTGTGTGAGAGCACTTGACAGTGTCTACCCTCACTGCTGTGTGAGAGCACTTGACAGTGTCTCGCCTCACTGCTGTGTGAGAGCACCTGGCAGTGTCCTACCCCTTTACCTGCTGTGTGAGAGCACTTGACAGTGTCTACCCTCACTGTTGTGTGAGAGCACTTGAGTGTCTACCCTCACTGCTGTGTGAGAGCACTTGAGTGTCTCTCCTCACTGCTGTGTGAGAGCACTTGACAGTGTCTACCCTCACTGTTGTGTGAGAAGCACTTGACAGTGTCTACCCTCACTGTTTTTGGGGAGAGCACTTGACAGTGTCTAGCCTCACTGTTATGTGAGAGCACTTGACATGTCTACCCTCACTGTTGTGGAGAGCACTGACAGTGTCTAGCCTCACTGCTGTGTGAGAGCAAATTGACAGTGTCTACCCTCACTGCTGTGTGAGAGCACTTGACAGTGTCTACCCTCACTGCTGTGTGAGAGCACTTGACAGTGTCTACCCTCACTGTTGTGTGAGAGCACTTGACAGTGTCTAGCCTCACTGTTGTGTGAGAGCACTTGACAGTGTCTACCCTCACTGTTGTGTGAGAGCACTTGACTTTTCTAGTCTCACTGTTGTGTGAGAGCACTTGACAGTGTCTACCCTCACTGTTGTGTGAGAGCACTTGACAGTGTCTACCCTCACTGCTGTGTGAGAGCACTTGACAGTGTCTCGCCTCACTGCTGTGTGAGAGCACCTGGCAGTGTCTACCCTCACTGCTGTGTGAGAGCACTTGACAGTGTCTACCCTCACTGTTGTGTGAGACCACTTGACAGTGTCTCCCTCACTGCTGGGGGTGAGAGCCCCTTGACAGTGTCTGCCTCACTGCTGTGTGAGAGCACCTGGCAGTGTCTACCTTCACTGCTGTGTGAGAGCACTTGACAGTGTCTACCCTCAAATGTTGGTGAAGCACTTGACAGTGTCTACCCCCCACTGTTGTTTGAGAGCACTTGACAGTGTCTACCCTCACTGTTGTGTGAGAGCACTTGACAGTGTCCTACCCTCCCCTGCTGTGGAGAGCACTTGACAGTGTCTAGTCTCACTGTTGTGTGAGAGCACTTGACAGTGTCTACCCTAACTGTTGTGTGAGAGCACTTGACAGTGTCTACCCTCACTGTTGTGTGAGAGCACTTGACAGTGTCTACCCTCACTGTTGTGTGAGAGCACTTGACAGTGTCTAGCCTCACTGTTGTGTGAGAGCACTTGACAGTGTCTACCCTCACTGTTGTGTGAAAGCACTTGACAGTGTCTAGCCTCACTGCTGTGTGAGAGCACTTGACAGTGTCTACCCTCACTGCTGTGTGAGAGCACTTGACAGTGTCTACCCTCACTGCTGTGTGAGAGCACTTGACAGTGTCTACCCTCACTGTTGTGGTTGAGAGCACTTGACAGTGTCTAGCCTCACTGTTGTGTGAGAGCACTTGACAGTGTCTACCCTCACTGTTGTGTGAGAGCACTTGACAGTGTCTAGTCTCACTGTTGTGTGAGAGCACTTGACAGTGTCTACCCTCACTGTTGTGTGAGAGCACTTGACAGTGTCTACCCTCACTGCTGTGTGAGAGCACTTGACAGTGTCTCGCCTCACTGCTGTGTGAGAGCACCTGGCAGTGTCTACCCTCAAATGCTGTGTGAGAGCACTTGACAGTGTCCCAACCCTCACTGTTTTTGTGAGACACTTGAAAAGTGTCTACCCTCACTGCTGTGTGAGAGCACTTGACAGTGTCTCGCCTCACTGCTGTGTGAGAGCACTTGACAGTGTCTACCCTCACTGTTGTGTGAGAGCACTTGACAGTGTCTACCCTCAAATGTTTGTGTGAGAGCACTTGACAGTGTCTACCCTCACTGTTGTGTGAGAGCACTTGACAGTGTCTAAACCCCCACTGTTGTGTGAGAGCACTTGACAGTGTCTACCCTCACTGCTGTGTGAGAGCACTTGACAGTGTCTAGTCTCACTGTTGTGTGAGAGCACTTGACAGTGTCTACCCTCACTGTTGTGTGAGAGCACTTGACAGTGTCTACCCTCACTGCTGTGTGAGAGCACTTGACAGTGTCTCGCCTCACTGCTGTGTGAGAGCACTTGACAGTGTCTACCCTCACTGTTGTGTGAGAGCACTTGACAGTGTCTACCCTCACTGTTGTGTGAGAGCACTTGACAGTGTCCTACCCTCACTGTTGTGGGAGAGCACTTTACAGGGCTAGTCTCACTGTTTGTTGAGAGCACTTGACAGTGTCCCACCCTCACTGTTGTGTGAGAGCACTTGACAGTGTCTACCCTCACTGCTGTGTGAGAGCACTTGACAGTGTCTCGCCTCACTGCTGTGTGAGAGCACCTGGCAGTGTCTACCTTCACTGCTGTGTGAGAGCACTTGACAGTGTCTACCCTCACTGTTGTGTGAGAGCACTTGAGTGTCTACCCTCACTGCTGTGTGAGAGCACTTGACAGTGTCTCGCCTCACTGGTGTGAGAGCACTTGACAGTGTCTAAACCCTCACTGTTTTTGTTTAGAGCACTTGACAGTGTCTACCCTCACTGTTGTGTGAGAGCACTTGACAGTGTCTACCCTCACTGTTGTGTGAGAGCACTTGACAGTGTCTACCCTCACTGTTGTGTGAGAGCACTTGACAGTGTCTACCCTCACTGCTGTGTGAGAGCACTTGACAGTGTCTAGTCTCACTGTTGTATGAGAGCACTTGACAGTGTCTACCCTCACTGTTGTGTGAGAGCACTTTACAGAGCTACCCTCACTGCTGTGTGAGAGCACTTGACAGTGTCCCCGCCCTCACTTTCTGTTGAAAAGCACTTGACCAAGTGTCACCCTCACTGGTTGTGTAGAGGCACTTTACAGTGTCTAACCCTCACTGTTTTTGTGAGAGCACTTGACAGTGTCCCCACCCTCACTGTTGTGTGAGAGCAACTTGAAAGTGTCTACCCTCACTGTTGTGTGAGAGAACTTTACAGTGTCTACCCTCACTGTTTGTTGAGACACTTGACAGTTCTACCCTCACTTTGTGTAGAGCACTTGACCCGTGTCTACCCTCACTGTTGTTGTGATAGCACTTGACCCGTGTTTACCCCCCACTGCTGTGTGAGAGCACTTGACAGTGTCAAGCCTCACTGTTTGTGAGAGCACTTGACAGTGTCTAAACCCCCACGTTGTGTGAGAGCACTTGACAGTGTCTACCCTCACTGCTGTGTGAGAGCACTTGACAGTGTCCCCGCCTCACTGCTGTGTTTAGAGCACTTGACAGTGTCTACCCTCACTGTTGTGTGAGAGCACTTGACAGTGTCTACCCTCACTGTTGTGTGAGAGCACTTGACAGTGTCTACCCTCACTGTTGTGTGAGAGCACTTGACAGTGTCTAGCCTCACTGCTGTGTGAGAGCACTTGACAGTGTCTAGCCTCACTGCTGTGTGAGAGCATTTGACAGTGTCTACCCTCACTGTTGTGTGAGAGCACTTGACAGTGTCTAGCCTCACTGCTGTGTGAGAGCACTTGACAGTGTCTAGCCTCACGCTGTGTGAGAGCACTGACAGTGTCCTTAAACCCCCACTGCTGTGTGAGAGCACTTGACAGTGTCTACCCTCACTGCTGTGTGAGAGCACTTGACAGTGTCTACCCTCACTGCTGTGTGAGAGCACTTGACAGTGTCTAGCCTCACTGCTGTGTGAGAGCACTTGACAGTATCTACCCTCACTGCTGTGAGAGCACCTGACAGTGTCTAGCCTCACTGCTGTGTGAGAGCACTTGACAGTGTCTACCCTCACTGCTGTGTGAGAGCACTTGACAGTGTCTAGCCTCAACTGCTGGTTTTGAGAGCACTTGACAGTATCTACCCTCACTGCTGTGTGAGAGCACCTGACAGTGCTAACCCCCAAATGCTGTGTGAGAGCACCTGGCAGTGTCTACCCTCACTGCTGTTTTGAGAGCATTGACAGTGTCTAGTCCCCACTGCTGTGTGAGAGCACTTTTACAGTTGTCTACCCTCACTGCTGTGTGAGAGCACTTGACAGTGTATAGCCTCACTGCTGTGTGAGAGCACTTGACAGTGTCTACCCTCACTGCTGTGTGAGAGCACTTGACAGTGTCTAGCCTCACTGCTGTGTGAGAGCACTTGACAGTGTCTACCCTCACTGCTGTGTGAGAGCACTTGACAGTGTCTAGCCTCACTGCTGTGTGAGAGCACTTGACAGTGTCTAGCCTCACTGCTGTGTGAGAGCACTTGACAGTGCTACCTCACTGCTGTGTGAGAGCTTTGACAGTGTCTAGCCTCACTGCTGTGTGAGAGCACTGACAGTGTCTACCTCACTGCTGTGTGGAGCACTTGACATGTCTAGCCTCACTGCTGTGTGAGAGCACTTGACAGTGTCTACCCTCACTGTTGTGTAAGAGCCCCCGACACTGCCTACCTTCACTGCTGTGTGAGAGCCCCCGACACTGTCTACCTTCACTGCTGTGTAAGAGCCCTCGACACCGCCTACCTTCACTGCTGTGTAAGAGCCCCCGACACTGCCTACCTTCACTGCTGTGTGAGAGCCCCCGACACTGCCTACCTTCACTGCTGTGTAAGAGCCCCCGACACCGCCTACCTTCACTGCTGTGTAAGAGCCCCCGACACTGCCTACCTTCACTGCTGTGTGAGAGCCCCCGACACTACCTACCTTCACTGCTGTGTAAGAGCCCCCGACACTGCCTACCTTCACTGCTGTGTGAGAGCCCCCGACACTGCCTACCTTCACTGCTGTGTAAGAGCCCCCGACACTGCCTACCTTCACTGCTGTGTAAGAGCCCCCGACACTGCCTACTTTCACTGCTGTGTAAGAACCCCCGATACTGCCTACCTTCACGGCTGTGTAAGAGCCCCCGACACCACCTACCTTCACTGCTCTGTAAGAGCCCCCGACACTGCCTACCTTCACTGCTGTGTAAGAGCCCCCGACACCGCCTACCTTCACTGCTGTGTAAGAGCCCCCGACACTGCCTACCTTCACTGCTGTGTGAGAGCACCTGACACTGATTACCTTCACTGCTGTGTCATATATCTTTTTTCCAATGCAGGGGTGGCACCATCTTCCCTGCATTACAAGGGCACCACCTTCCCTGCATCACCAGGGTACCATCTTCCTTGCATCACCAGGGCACCCATCTTCCCTGCATCAGCAGGGCACCATCTTCCCTGCATCAGCAGGGCACCACCTTCCCTGCATTAGCAGGGCACCATCTTCCCTGCATCAGCAGGGCACCATCTTCCTGCATCACCAGGCCACCACCTTCCCTACATCACCATGGGTAGCACCACCTCATCTGGCTCCAAAAGTTATTTAATATTCAGGCTGGTGTGGAACATCACCGAGTTGAGAGAAACTTGGTGTTCCAGTGTTGGGAGGCGAGGCACACTGCTCTGGTGTTGAGAGATGAGGCACACTGCTCTAGTGTTGAGAGGTGAGGCACACTGCTCTGGTGTTGAGAGGTGAGGCACACTGCTCTGGTGTTGAGAGGTGAGGCACACTGTTCTGGTGTTGAGAGGTGAGGCACACTGCTCTGGTGTTGAGAGGTGAGGCACACTGTTCTGGTGTTGAGAGGTGAGGCACACTGCTCTGGCGTTGAGAGGTGAGGCACACTGTTCTGGTGTTGAGAGGTGAGGCACACCGTTCTGGTGTTGAGAAGTGAGGTACACTGCTCTGGTGTTGAGAAGTGAGGCACACTGCTCTGATGTTGATATGTGAGGTACACTGCTCTGGTGTTAAGAAGTGAGGTACACTGCTCTGGTGTTGCGATGTGAGGTACACTGCTCTGGTGTTGAGAAGTGAGGCACACTGCTCTGATGTTGATATGTGAGGTACACTGCTCTGGTGTTAAGAAGTGAGGTACACTGCTCTGGTGTTGCGATGTGAGGTACACTGCTCTGGCCATCATTTACAACTATAAGGTCGGGCGATGAGTTACTTGTATCACAATCGTTACTTACGTCACTACCGTTACTTGTGTCACTACCGTTACTTTTGTCACCACCATTACTTGTCACCACCGTTACTTGTATAACCAACGTTACCATAATCACGAGCAGAGAGACAATAAGAAGTTAACATTACCTCTGTAACTTGCTCAGCTATCAAAACTTTGGAGTCCAGTCCCTGGACCAATTATGTACCTCTGTAATCTTTTGACTACCGCCCACAGGATGGGTATGGGGTGCATAATAAACATATTAAACTAACTAAAAACATAAGACTGACCCCTTAGTGACAACTGATCGAGATTTCTCGTGTTCACCATGACTCTACGGTTCAACTCAGCCGTGTTTCATTACCCTAATACGTGTGTGTGTGTTCCACTCACTAACACTGTTCCACTCACTAACACTGCTCCACTTACTAACACTGCTCCACTTACTAACACTGCTCCACTTACTAACACTGCTCCACTTACAACCATTCGCACCTTAATAACTAGTTCACTAACTAATTAAACATATTATCAAGAGTTCCAGCATCCAACATAACCTGACTGTATTGCAAGGGTACGAGATTTCTCGTTATCTTTCATCTATTATGCCTGGGTGTAATAACGCAGAGTTCATGGTGTTGTGTGAAGGCCAGTTCTAGGCACTGTGAGTGAGTTTTAGATACTGCAAGGTGGTGCAATACACTACACTAGCGTGAACGCCTTCCTCTTACACATCACCCACATTTCTCGAAGTTTATATTTTCTCTGGTTGCTCAACCAACCTGCACACTCGTACATGTTACTCTCACACTAAACCATATCTTTCAAAACATTTTCTTTAAAGTAAAAGGACACAAGTGCAACTAATGTGACATTTATTGTGGCAACGTTTCGCCCTCCAGGAGCTTTATCAAGCCATTACGTAATGGCTTGATAAAGCTCCTGGAGAGCGAAACGTTGCCACAATAAATGTCACATTAGTTGCACTTGTGTCCTTTTACTTTACATATTGTCGGTAATTCTACCAACTTTATTACAAAACATTTTCTTTTTAATTTTTCATCTGTTGATTTCATTCCTTTCAAAATTGTTTTGCCTGATCAGACTTCCTTCATCTGTTGCCTGTCCGTTGCATCACTCAGACTTGCTCAGTCTATCAACCACATAATATTTGACCATGCAGTACTAAGTAAAGTAGTATTAAAATTAGACATTAGTGATGCAATGAACCTGAACCTGAGCTTTAAACAACTAGAGTTTTTGCTAGTTTCTTGCCATCTGTTTCAGCTGGATCTGAGCTTTAAACAACTAGAGTTTTTGCTAGTTTCATGCCATCTGTTTCAGCTGGATCTGAGCTTTAAGCAACTAGAGAGCTTTTACTAGTTTGTTACCATCTGTTTCAGGCGGAAACTGCATGACGACATTCTAGCAGGGAGAGGCTTCAGAAGTGGATATCTGGCTAGCAAAGTCAGAGGTTGAGGCTCTTTCAAATATGAAATCATTTCTAAAAGTCAGTCTTCCATTGCAGTCCATCAGTCCCCACTAATAGCATCTAGCTATCAAGTATTTTCGAAATAAATGGTCCCAAGATGGAAGAGAGAATACTTTCCTCGGATGGCCACGATACCTTGTACCTTCTCACAAGGTGCTTCACCTTCCTCGGATTAATCTACTTTTGACACAATGAAGTGAACACGTAAAACTTTTGATGTAAAACTACATGAAAATACTTATCCACTCTCTAGAAATCTACGAATGAGATCCACAAATGCTGCCAGATAGACTAGTGAGGGTAGGCGCCTACAAGGCAATAAATATTCCATTACTTGTATTTCAATTCCCTTTCGTTGCATATAGCAAACTTCCGAGTTAGATTCTCCAGAGAGACAGTGGTTAATCACAGTTCCAAGTTTACTGGAGTAGTAATTCATTAAGACAGCCACGCCGCCGCCTCTTCAAATAAACCAACTGGGGCAGATGCATAGTGGAGAATAATACCTCAGTAATTTGTGAATGTTTGTTTTGAAAAGACTGAGTTTTCTTCTGCCTATGAGAGCATCACTTGCTGGTATATCCTAGTAATTCCTTACTGGTCACTGGACACACACTTTGTAGTATTAGTGTAGTCACTTACACAGGCATATTTGTTCCAAACATAGTTTGAACTCCATAATATACAACGCAAAAGATCAAAAAAAAAAACGAAGCAGCCAGTAATATTGAAGGTCTTGCCACACAGCCTTCGACAGATATGCCTTGTGTTCACTAACCCAACAGACGGGTTTAACAGCATTAAACAATACAATAACAGTTGCATGGCAGCAGCATTAATGTTGACTATGATCACAGTCACCTTGGCAACGAGGTGCTGGAGGCTGAGGCTCACCGTAATGTCTCTCATTCTAAAATTTTCTTAAGACAAATATGGACGCACTAGGAGAGCCAACACCGCCACAAAGTCACGCTCCCCTCCAGAAATTGTATTATTATTATTATTATTATTATTATTATTATTATTATTATTATTATTATTATCAAAATTATTGTTTTTATTATCACTACTGTTATTAAGTAATTAGGGTTGATCCAATGGGAAAGGAAGCTCCAATTACAATTCCTTGTATCAGGACCCCTCACTTGTATGAGGGGCCCCTCCATCAGGGCCCCTCACTTGTATGAGGGGGCCCTCCATCAACAGGGCCCCTCACTTGTATGAGGAGCCCTCCATCATCAGGGTCCTTCACTTGAACGAACAACAGCTGAGGAAACTGTCAGTTTAGATAAGAGTGAAGGTGAGACTCAGCCGGGGACCAGATAAGAGTGTTTGATGTGTTGATCCTTGGAACCTGCCTGCCTTCCTGCCTACCTGCCTGCCTTCCTGCCTGCCTGCCTGCCTTCCTGCCTGTCTGCCTGCCTGCCCGCCTGCCTGTCTGCCTGCCTGTCTACCTGCCTGTCTGCCTACCTGCCTGTCTGCCTGTCTGCCTGCCTGCCTGTCTGCCTGCCTGCCTGCCTGCCTGCCTGCCTGTCTGCCTGCCTGCCTGCCTGCCTACCTGCCTGCCTGCCGTTCTCAGTCCAGCAGGAAAACAGGCGCTCCAATTTCTGGGGTCGGCCTCAGTGCTTCCTTTCCGGGGGCTTTCCCCAAAGGGTCACTGCTGTTGTTTTTCTTTCTCTACAAGTTTAATGGTTGTGTGCCAAACTCTTTATGGAAGGACTCTTTAAAAATTAAAAAAAAAAAAAAGGAGAGCTGCCCTCTTTGATGGAAAGGTTCTCTTAATTAAGGAAGAGCTGCCATCTTTGGAAGGTACTCTTAATTAAGAGAGGTGCCATCTCTATGAGGGAAGGGACTCTTAAAAGAGAGAGCTGCCATCTCTCTGATGGAAAACACTCTTTAAATTTGGGGACCGCTATCTTTGATGGAAGGGACTCTTAATTAAAGGGAAAAAGCTGCCATCTTCTGTGGAAAGCTCTTTTAAGAGGACCCGACTCTATGATGGGAAAGGGCTCTTTAAATTAAAAGAGAGCTGCTATCTCTCTGTGGAAAAACATCTTAATTTAAAAGAGGCTGCCATCTCTATGATGGGAAAGGGATCTTAAATTTAAAGAGGGAAAGGGCCTCTCTATGATGGAAGGTACCTTAATTAAAAGGAGCTGCCTCTCTATGAGGAAGGTACTCTTAATTAAAAGAGAAGGGCCCTCCTTGATGGGAAAGGACTCTTAATTTAACAAAAATTGGTAATGAATGCAGTACCATGTATTCACAGTTTTCTCACAGTACCCAAAGTCCAGAGTCTCAGAGCACTCTGAGTCTCATAGTATCACATACTCCAGTTCCTGTGGGGGCGAGTAATAAGAGGGTTGTGTTGACTGAGCGTCTCCAAAAACCCCTCTTGTCAGCGTCCTGAAATTAAGGGAAAAAACAATTTCTTCAAAAGCTGGTGGGGAGGTAGGTGAAAATTTTTTTGGGGAGGGAGGTGACTTTGGGAGGTGGGTGCATTCTGGGGAGGGAGGTGACTTCTGGGGGGGTGGGTGACATTCTGGGGGGGTGGGACTTTGGGGGGGGTGGGGGGGCATTCTGGGGAGGTGGGGGAATTCTGGGAGGTGGGGGGGCATTTTGGGGGGGGGGGTGCATTCGGGG